TTAACCTCGATGCTTTGTTGGTTCTGACTGAGATGTGTCCCCCACCACTGAGTATCAAAAATTGTCTAATAACCAAAACTGTCAATACATGTTTGGTCAGATTCCCAGTGTTGTTTACACATTGTTTATTCATAAAGTTCCTGATTTATTTCAAACTTCAGTAATTTTAGACTTTCCATTTAGGAACATTTCTTGTGCAGCTGTTTATGTTAAGACAATATTTGAATTTCAGTTTCCTTTTGTCAGTAGGGTTTCGCATAGGAACAAATTTGGATTCCTCTAAGTAAAGCATCAAAAAGGCTTTATTTGATATTGGGACAGAAAATCAGGTTTTGTATTGGCACTTGTATCAAAACATGTTATGTTATGGCTCATGAGGAAAAACCTGTTTTCCTAGGTGTGCCTGATGCAAATCATATTTCCTGATAGAAATAAAGTATTTTGCATGTCTCTGAAGGTGCTGATATGTTGGGGATAAAGTCACGACACCAACTCCTTTGTCCTAATGCTGTCCCCAACCTTAAGGACGGTAAGTCAGACAGACAGTCTGTCAAAGTCCTCCCCTCTTACTCCTCCTGTCTGTCTGTCTGTCTGTGTGGACAGAGACAGAGATTTGGGGTTAAATGCTCCAGCTGCAGCGTGAGGACCAGTAGTCGCCCCTCAAACACAGGAAATCCCCTTACTTCTGCTTCACAGCTCTGTTGTGGCCGCATGTCTGTGTGTATATTTCTGCGGCACAGATCCTGTGTTCATGTGCCAGAGTCGGATGGGGTTTGTCAGGAGGGGGGTTACAGTATTGCAGGGCCAACCAACTCACTGACTGACCACGGTCCCAAGGGACGCACACAAGAAAAGTTAAACAAACACAACCACAGCCTTTTTCTCAGGACACTTCCAGACACTCCTATTGGCTGACCCATAAGGCAGCCTTTTTTATTTCATTGGTACCCTTGCCTCCCCCACACTGCTCTTCTCTTTAAGGAAGCTTTGGAGGTTTGGCCTCTGAACTCTGACCCCTTTGGGAGAGCAGAAAGCTTTCTGAAGAGACCTGGCGAGAGGCGAGGTTCCTTTCTGGAATGTCATGATTTGGGTCACTTTTCCTTCTCCACTACTGTCCTCTCTGACTGGTTTACAGACCTTTAGCCTCTTTAGCAAGTGAGAGAATGAAGTCTTATGTCATCCTGGTGAATGAGAAGCTTGCTCACAAAGCTTTAGCTGCACACTCCAGCTGATTTAAAGGGTCAGTTCACAGTTCAGTAAAATCAATTAATTTTTCATTGCTGTGAGCACTAGAAACAAGATCCCATTACAATCTATTTGGCTAAATACTGCAAGAGATTAGTAAGAAAATATGTTTTTTGTGATTTAGGTAAACTGACCCTTTAAGCTGAAGGGTAAGATGCTTCGCCTCAGTGTGACGACCTATTAGTTGTAGGCCTTGTCTGCCTTTGGCACCACTTCCTCCCGGGGGCAGCCCGCAGTTGAGCTCTACGTCTCCTGTGATTGGCCGAGAAGGGCTCAGTGGTTGTTAACTGGTGGGTTGCTTTGCCAGCTGGAGGCTGTGGGCTGGGCCATGCCGCTTGGCCTGATCTCTAATTAGCACTGGCTTGTCAGCTAGTGAGGGTGGATCTGTCTGGGAAATTGCAGTCTTATACACACAGACACACATACATATAAACCATAGCTGGGAAACCCACAGGAAAGCAACAGTGGGATGAGGATTGTCCTTCAGTTACAGAGAGTCTGTCTGTGATCATGTGGCTTTGACTTGTGTTGCCGTTTGATTCTTGTTGGGCTGAAGTGGCTTATTTAGGGCTCGGGGTGTGTTTGTGTGTGTCTTACTGTGCTCTATTAGTGGTGAGGCTGCAGCAGTGAAGTGGTTAACAGTCCCGGGGGGAGGCTCATGTTACCAGCAGCAGGGCAGGTCCTTCCCTCTTCTCCCCACCAGTTTCTCTCTCAGTTACTCCAGAGAGAGACAAACAGTGCCCGAGGGATGAAGCATCAGTGCAGCAAGCGACAAAGGAGCTCGATCTAGGAACACTGCCAGGGTGAGAGAGAGAGGGCGAGAGACATTGAGAAAGCTTAGAGAAGGAGGCAGACAGAGAGGGAGTGGGAGAGCTAGTTGGCTGTGTGAACTCTCTCAGCGGCATGAAGTCATGAGGCTCTCTGTCCAGCTTGGCATTTTCCCTCAGCACTCCGGTTCCCACGGCAACCCAGGCACCCTGACCAGGTAGATGCATGCGTGCGTGTGTGTGTATATATATATATATATAGATATATAAGTGTGCACACAAATGTGTCAAGGAAGCTTTGTCTGTCTAGTAGCTTAATGATGACTTCGGTATAGCCCGTGTTCAGGAGACATTGAGATCTTTGTGGGTTTGTTTCTTCATGCCGGTCACATATCTTTATTTTTGTTCTGTTCCGTTGTGTGTGTGTGTGTGTGTGTATGTGTGGGACTTTCCCCTGTGGCTATATGGACGAGTTGAAACGGTTGTGGTCACTCTAAATCTCTCAGCACCTCTAAGCTCGTCTTCTCCACGGACGCTTTCAACTCTGAAACTGTGTCTCCGCTCTGCTGCGGTTTGATTTATTCTGCTTGTAAATCCAGAGAGAAGTTGTGCTGTCCCCCCTGTCTCTGTTTCTCAGGTTTTTAGCAAGGTTGCTCAAAAAGCAGCTGATGTATTTGGCTTGAAATCTGCCAAGGACCTTGGCTGTTTTTGTTTAGTTTTTTAAGCCATAATTATGATGTTGTGTTCATGTGCTGGTGGGAAACATTCAGGACCTCTGAAAGTCCGACTTGACAGATGACTGATGAATGGGAGCTCATATGTAGCAATGTGTATCGAATTTCAGCACAATTTTTTTTATTACAGAGTGAAATGTGAAATGCAAATGATCAACAACTGTCAAGTAGCTTGGACTCTTATCTTTCTTGTCTCTTATCTCTTAGACATTTATTTTATTTGGGCAAAGTCCTTTTTTGGCTGTGTGTGTTACCACATAATTTAACAATGATCTTTCTTGAGTTTGGTTAATCGTGTTCAGTTAAAATACAGGTCAGAATCAAGTAAAACAGGTATCATATTGGTACTAGTTGTGATTTCTCCTAACCCACCATCAATTACTTGTTTGTCATTTATCAAGCAAAAATCAAATGTGAGGATTTGTTGCTTTCTTCTGGTTTTTTTATCATTTTATCACTAAATATCGTTTTTTGGTTTAGACTGCTGTTACATTTGCACAATTGCATTTAAGACTTCATCTTGGGCTCTGAGAAATTATGATGGGCATTTTATAAACTGAGGTGTGAGACTGTGTAACTCCTTTTAATCCCTGTGTGTTGACACAGTGTTTGTGTGTGTGTGTCATTGGCGATAATTGTATGTGGGTGTTGTCATACAAGACTTTCTAGACATGTTTTTATGTATCATTAGTCTTAACTGAACAGACTCCTGATGACTGTTAAAAAAAAATTAGTGTGTCAACCCCAGCTCTGTTGTTTTGTGTGTGTGTGTGTGTGTGTGTGTGTGTGTGTGTGTGTGTCTGGTGCAGCCAACCCTGCACTGGCCATCACCATCAGCCTCCCACTGGTCCTTTCAGAGTGATGTTTGCCAACTGGCCAGGCTTCCTGCCCCCCACAGACTTTCAACACACACACACACACACACACACACACACACACACACATATTTACAAATATCCTGCATTAACTCCTTCCGTGTTTGCTCTGTTCAGATGGGTCTGTTTGAACAACTCGCAGACACACACACACACCATGATGTCACTTCTCCGACAAGCCTTTGTTCATATGATAGACAACCCCATTCAGCCTGTTTGTGTGCATGTGTGTGCGTACCCAAGCTGAAGCCAGTTTAAATGGAGAATAAAGGAAGGGAATCACCAGGCAGTCAGAGACGCCGGATCCATCATTTGTTTAAACTTTTATTTCCGTTTAACACTGCAGCTAATAGATGACTTTTTTTTTTTTCTTTTCATACAAAGTCATACATTTATCAGAAATACAAGTATACAGAGAACTTCATACTTCCTGTCCTTGTATAGTGCACATAATTCTTTTACATATTGACACATAAGGTCTGTTTACATAACCACAAGCACTCTTAAACAACCGCACTTGCACACAGCACGTATATTGTGTACATGTGTACATATCTATACTTAACAGCAAATATGAAACAAGAAAAAAGGACCAACTTTTAAATATTACACTTAATTAGCAAAAAGGAAAATCTCACTGCAGCTCCAAAAGACATATTTGTCTCTAAAGAGTTGTGTTCATGGTATAAGAAGCATCACACCTCACTGCTGTGTCTTCAGTCTGTCTGCTGAGTAAATCTAGTGTCTGTCTCTTGAAAGAGGAATAAAAATTGTTCCAAAGGGGCCACCGTCTAACTAGGGCTGGGCGATATGGCCAAAAATGTAATCACGATAAAAACATTTAATATCATTCGATATCAGTAATTATCACGATAAATGTCAAGTCGTTATTTCTTTCAAGTTTAAAGGCTGATTTTTGCTCCTGAGTGAAAATTGAAGAAACCAGATGGTTATTTATGTGGTTAAACTTTTCTTTATGGTCAGAATGTGCCAAACACTTGATGCCAAACAGAGGATCACTTTACAAATCTGAGGCAGAACATTCAAAGCTATTATGATAAAAATAAATTTAATAAATATGATTAGTAAATCTTTTTTCAGTCCCTTTTCCGCAATAAAATAAATATTTTAACAGAAAAAGTAAGTGCTAATTTGTTCATTATTCATATGAATTAAACCAAGTATTTATTGACGATGTATTGAACATTAATTATATTGATATTGAGGAAAATTATATTGCGATAATTATCATTATTGTTTTATTGCCCAGCCCTACGTCTAACAAGAACCAAGTGGGCTCCCCCATCCTCTCCAGTCTGGCAGATTTGTTGTTTAAACAGTTCTCAAGTGAGCCTCTCTCTGTCTCTGTGCGTTTCCAGCTGGGATGACAGCAGCTCTGTGAGCAGTGGCATCAGCGACAACATCGACACAGATGACATCAACACCAGCTCCTCCATCTCCTCCTACGCCAACACACCTGCTGCACAGCGCAAGGGTGTCAACGCACAGGTAAAACTACACACTCTCACACACACACATCCATATGTAAGAATAATACCAAAAATTGTTTCGGGTTGGGATAGCCAGTTCAATTCTGGATCTGGTTCCAAGTTTGTAAAGTATGTATCTCCTCTCCCCTTTTTATTAGAAAAGCATGATATACAAAACATTCAGGTAGTCATTTATGTAGACAGTTGAGTTCAGAGTGAGTACAGTTTTACTTCCTTTGATATCTGAACTCCATCAAACTCTTTTCTGTCTGCAAAGAGCCGTGACAGATGGAGTTTTCAAGAGTCATTTACCTTATTTAGAAGAAGCTAAACATGACGATGGCGTTTGTCTTATTGTTATTATAACTAACGTTGCACTACCTCACAATCAGCTGTCAGTTTCTCATCGCCCACATAATCACTCGCAGGCATATTTTGGTGACTTCGAGTGGAGCCCTGAGAAGAGATATAGTGTTTCTGAGAAGAGATATAGTGTTTCTGAGAAGAGATATTATGTGATATCAGCAGGTTTTTAGATGTCTTCTGGTTGAGAGTTCCAGAGTCAAAAAACGGTGTAGCCCATGAATTCATAAATATCACACTGAAGCGCAAAAATAAAGAAATAGAAATAAAACTAGACAATGCAACAGCCTAGCAACAGTGTTGTCAGAATGCATGATTGTATACTCACCTTCCCGCATCATAAATATGACACATGAGTTCCATCTGAAGGCCAGCTGTTTATTTTATATTGGGTCTTTGAATTAATTTAAGTGACAAATCTACAAATGATAATGAAATGTAGATGTAAAAAGTGTTAAATGGATGCATTATTCCACATGGCCTCATATCCCTAGACCCAGTTTGTGCCAGCGTTCCTCTGCATTCAGAGAAGAATGTGAGTCTGCGTTTGAGTTGTACAGCTGTGAACTCACAAAGCTAAAGCTCATGTTGACACTGGCCTCAAACCATTAAATACTGAATAAGAGCCAATACGGTTAGGAAAGTGATCGGTGAGACGATAATATTGTCAGCTGACTCACATGTACATCACACACACAGTGTTTACTATGTGACGTGTGTCCCTTATTGCCGCAGAGGTTCAGTCACGGAAGAAAAAACAACGTAGGGCACAAAGGAGCCTTTTTGTCAGTACAGCAGCCTGACAGAGTGCAGGTTAATTAAGTCTGCCTTATCTGTCCTCTGGCAATGACACACATTGGCTTCACTGTGTTTTTTTTTGTTCTGTGAGCAGAGCAGCTTGCTGCATGTTTGTAGTGTTGCAGAATCAACTTAAGAGCATCCATAACCCTTAAACAGCTGTAATTTACTGTTAGTAAATTCAGTGAACTAGTCAGTGAACTAGCAAAGTCATACTTTTTAATATTATTTAAAACAATTAAAACTCAAAAGATGAGGATGAAGCTGAGGAAAAAGTGCACCACTAACTTGCCTACAGTATGTTTTAGGTTTTGATGAAAGAAGAATGATGTTGTAAAGCTCAGGGGCAACAGCAACTATTTCCGTGTTTTATTGTAATCAAGAGTCCTCACAAGGAGACTTAGATTTGAGACATGGACTTCTCTGCTGTGAGGCCGGACTTTCATGAGATTTTATGGTTTTATATCTCTTGAGTTGAGACTTTAAAGTAAAAATATTCAAGTTTCAGATTTGAAACTGGTCCCAGATTAAGTGAAAAATAAATATGACTGCAGGCACGCAGCTTTGCTTAACTTGCAATTTTGTTAATGAAAAATTGTGATGTGAATGAAACGGACTTGATCTGACAGACTTGACTTTAACCAAGTCTCTTTCTCAAAAACATTAGCTGCCCAGCAAAGCAAAAGCAGCAAAAATGCTTCTCTTACATTTTAATTCAGGAGAACGCTTTCTGCCTAGGTCCTGATGTGGTCAAACTGACAAACTGCTCAGGTGATGGTCTGTTGGATGCTGGCAGGATTGCACAGCATGATGGTTGTGGTCATAAAACGGAGTGCTTTTTAGAGGCACTTGGCACCGTCTCATAAAAGACACTTTCTTCAGCAGTAATAAATCTGACATGCTGTGTGTGTGTGTGTGTGTGTGTGTGTGTGTGTGTTTTCCCAGCCTGTGACGGATGCAGAGAAACACTCGGCCTCCACAGCGGTGCACCAAGCCTGGTCAGGTGAAGAGGTGAAAAGGCCAGACGGCGGGTCAGACAGTGGGGTCAGGATGGAGCCAGGCTCCAAGTGGAGCCGCCGGAATCCCTCCGACATGTCTGATGAGTCCGACAAGGGCAGCTCAGGAAGGAAGGCCCCCTCTGTGTCACACACAGGCTCTTGGAGGAGAGGCATGAGCACTCAGGTTGGGGTGACATCCCCCCGGACTAAAAGCACCAGTAGCACAGGCTCTGCAGGTTCCACTGGCCTCAAGACCCACAGTTCAGGTAACTTAGACATCGATCACCACTAATAGGACAAAAAAACCCAACAAATAAATAAATGAGGAATTCAATTTGAAAATTTAACGTGTCGAATCTTACAACTTTAATCAAGTGTCATTTATATCTTATACAGTTATATTCTGCTCATCGTTTTCATTCTTCATCTTAAATGAAATTCCTGAAATGTATTAAACTGGCAGAAATTACTAATTCTGTCGGACTTAAACTTATTTCTTATTTATGAAAAATAAAATTTGAAGTGTAAATGCGGAATGAAATGTCTATGTCAGGTATTTTTGCAGCGTATTGCATTGCACAAATGCTGGGATATTTATGTAAATGTAAAGTTTTGTGAGTAAAATTAAAAATTTGGTAACACTTTGTAACATCACTTGAACAAGTCCAAGAGGTGACCTACGTTTTCACTTTATTTAATGGATGGCGTTTAGTATTTTATGGGTTGAGACGCTGCCATATTTTGCTTATGAATGGCAATGGGTAGTGAAAAATGAATGAAAAGTAAGGCTCCTTCCTCTAGCTCAGATAAAGCTGACAGTGTGGAGATGCAACTTCTTCACCTCAAGTCCAGCTGTCAGTGATCTGATTATGAAATCATCAGCAGTATCACCCACTTACCCATTCTCTGTGTCCTGCAGGTAAGACAGATGATGTCAAGGTGTCAGAAAAGGGTCGCCTCTCTCCTCGTCCTAACGGCCTTCACCGCTCACCCTCAGACGCAGGACGCAGCAGCGGCGACGAGGCAAAGAAACAATCAATTCCCACCAGCCGCACATCGACGACAAACACCGTTTCAGACCCTCACTCCCAGACACATACACTCACCTCACGCACCCCTACCAGCACCTTCGGCTTCAAGAAGCAGGGCCCTGGGATGGTAACCATGGTTACTGCCAGTGGTGCCACCATCACAAGTGGCTCAGCCACCCTGGGGAAGATGCCTAAATCTGGGGCACGCTCACTGGCAGGAGGGATGAAGGCCGGTGGGCATGAATCCGGATCGGTGCTAGGTCACCACGATGATGGCTTCCTACCAATGAGCGCCCGCTCCACACTGCAGTACCGCAGCCTGCCGAGACCCAGTCGCTCGGGAGCAGCCTCCCGCAACGGAAACCGCTCCTCCACCAGCAGCATCGAGGCCGCTGTGCTCTCTGTCACATCTCACGGGAAGAGCATCACCAAGGCCAATGGTTCAGGAGGTCTACTAGCCAATCAGACGGATCGGGAGAAGGGCGTCTCTGAGATTGACAACCTCAGGAGTGGAGTTGTGATGCAGAGCGGAGGAGCAGCGACTGTTCCTTTGACTGGAAGACAGCAGGTTTCTTCACCTACACTACGCAGGTAATATAAAATATATATATATATATATATATATATATATATATAATTGGTATTGTCAGTAGTCCTGCAGACATAGTGACTACTAACTGATGACCCATACTGAGTGGGGCCCTCTTGTATGGGCTTGAATTCACACACAAACACACACACAGAGAACACCATTTTAAAATACAGTCATCATGTAGTCACAGTAAATGATAAACTGTGGTGAGTAAAGATCACACGTGTGGGCTTGTTTCTCACAGACACAAGATCATGGAGGTTAAATCAGGCCATTGTGAAAGGCAGGCCTTGAGCTGGGCTGATCAGGTGCCAAGCCTCAGCCTTGGCAGTCTAGGGGGGAGGGCGGAGGGGGAGGGTGTGGTGCAGGGTAATGGGAGCTGAGTCTTACCTCAGGGCTCTACCCTCATTAATGTGAGGGAGTGATAACTCTTCAAAGAGGCTGTGTGCTGCCATTATCGCCCACCGCGGCTCCAGTCATCACAGCCTACCATTTAACTCTAACCCAGCAGAGAAGCAGGAGAGAGTTCTGTCTGTGTGAGTCTGTGTTTGGCCTTGACTTAGATCTGAGCACTCACTTTACCTATCCTGTGTACAGGGCTTTGATCCATAACATCCATGAATATTTACATGAAATGTGGTGTTAAGTTTATTGTTGGTATTCACGGTCCCTGGAGGAGGATGGATCCTAATGGTTTTGCTAACCCCTTGACATTTGGTCTTGCACCAGCATCTTGTTTAAATGTAAGTGTATGCACAAGAGCGTCAAAGCTTCAAGAGTTGCTTGAGGTTTCAAGACCTGCAAAGATTAGTGAAGTTAATAAAAGTAATATTAAGTGTTAAAAGATGCAATTATGTTCAATATGCCTTATTAAGGCAATCATATTCTAATTTAAGGTTGCATTAGATTGACAGAATGTGTATCTTTCTCTCTACAGAAATTCAAATATTGTTCATCTTTACATACTGCCTCTTCCTCTGGCATAGTGCTGCCTTCAAAAAGTGATTATGTGATTTATTAAAATGCCAGAAAGTTGTGACTCACAATTCCTTTTCATAGGAAGTTAGAAAATGACATCCTTCCTCCTGTCCCTGATTTTCCACAGGTTGTTTGGTGGGAAGCCCAGTAAACAGGCTCCGGTCACCACGGCTGAAAACATGAAGAACTCCACTGTTATCTCCAACCCCCACGCAACCATGAACCATGTAGGCACGGTGCTGGAGTCCCCTGACGGAGGGCTGGGAGGCGGGGACAGCGAGACCAACAGCCCCCTGTTTGGAGGCAGAATGCACGGATCAGGGATGGGGACGCTGGGCAGCGAGCAGGTGAGCAAGAACATATGAAAATAATGGAGACAATTAAGGACTGTCAGTCAACTTGCTCTATAAATGAAGAGATATCAAAATCATCCATGAGCTCCTGGGGAATTATTGGCTGCGATTCCCCACACTGTGACAGCAATTGTATGATAAAGCTTTAGCATACACAGAGGAAAAGATAAATATGTGTCTTTGTTTATTCTTGGGCTTTTAGTTTAAAAAGTCTTTAAAATGTAATTAGCCTGGTTTATTTTTATGGGCAGTGTCACGAGAGCAGCCACTTAGTCATTAGGAATGCTGCTATTTTTATTCATATACATTCTCTAACTACCCATTACTTACCATGAAAACAGGGAAAGCCTTTTCCCTTTTTTGTTGTAATTTTTGAGTTGCATTTGAGTTATTTTTAGCCATGCTAGTGGTGGCAATGCTGGCCTGTTGGTTGGTCCACTAATTTGGTCCAGACTGCAATATCTCAACAACTATTGCAGTGATTACTATGAATGTTTGTACAGACATTTGTGTCCTCATCCAGAAGAATTGTAATAACTTTAATTATTCCTTAAAGCAGCTAATATCAATGTTTTTCTAACAAAAAATTTGGTCCATTACCAATATCTTTAAAACTAATTCCCATCAGCTTCTGCTGTTCTTTGGCTATGGTGATAACCACATTCGAAGCACCACTGTGCCTAAGTACAGCCTTACAGAGCTGCTAGCATGGCTGTAGACTATTGTTACATGTCACACTATGTATATTTTACTGTTTCTTATTATTTAACTTTAAAGCTGCTGTCATTTTCACAATTGAGTTTTAACTTTTGTGGTCAGCTGTCCAAGTTAAGCTAAGTTTGGTTTTAAGATCAGAAATGATTATGTAGTTTAGAGTTGATTAAGTGAGTATGTGTTGAAGATGTGGGAAAGTGTTTGTGAGCTAATGACAAGACTTTAACAGGGACTCAAGGATGATTTTGGTCCCACCTGACTAATGCCACAAACAAAAATGAGTGTTTTGAGTGGAACTGCAGATGCGTAGTGTAGGTACTTGTTTGACTAACTGTAGGCTACATATTGTAGCAGCACGGAAAATGTGAGCATGCTCAGACATGAACTCTGCATCACTCTCATGTGATTCATAAAATTTTATTAGACTGGTTTTTATTAATAAAGGTGACACATAGGGCATGTCTTTACAAACAGTAAGCTTAGGTTCCGATGTTTAAATAGTCAGATATATAGACCATCAAATAAAAGTGAAAAACACATCAGGACTGCAACTAATACTTATTTTCATTGTTCATTAATCTATTAATGTTTTTCATTAATCATATCATATTCTGGAGGCACAAAATAGTGATGAATGTAATCACAATTTCCCATAGCACAAGTTGAAGTCCAACAAACAGTTCAAAAACCAAGTATATATTAAATTTACAATCATATAAACAAAGAAAAGCAGCAAATTCTGGCCTTCAAGAGCATCTTTGGCATTTTTACAGGACTAATTGTTTCAGCACTAGAAATGACAGACAAATTTAAAGACAAATGCTCTCCGCCGCTTCATAGGCCTCCAGTCCAGGCTCAGTCTACTCCTCTACCGGCCCCTCCAACAGCCTCACATGGGGCACCACCTTCAGTAGCTCGTCCGCCCAGAGCAGGGAGGGCACACTGGGTGGGCATGGCGGGACGGGCAGCATGGGATACCCATCTGTCAGCAGCATGCACACCAGCAGCGAGTCCATCGACATGAGCCTGGGCAGCGCCGGAGGAGGTGGCGTCCATGGGACCCACAGGGAGGACACCCTGTCTGCTCTGGGCCGCACTGGCAGCGTCAAGACCGGCATGTCTGAGAGGTGAGCACACAAAAGAGTGGGGAAAAAACGCACACACACAAAAACATGTTTCCTTTTCAAAAAAGACAAACAAATTAAATTCTGTTATCTGTTCTCCAGTGCAGCTTCTGGCTCTCATCAGTGTGGTTGTATATGAGGTTGTTTCCAGGTTCTTTACAGTCTGTTCATTAGTGTAACTAATAAATTAATGTGATTTTACAAAAGTTGCATGAACTAATCAAGAGATTTGTACAATTTTGTAGCTCACTGTGGGAATATTTTCAGTCAAGTACTGCACATGTGTAACTGGTTTATTACAACAATTTTTGTAGTTTGGGCCATAATTCCTGTCTGTATTAATAACTTTGTACTCACCAAGTAAAAAGAAAAGAAGACTCTTATCCTTAAAGTAAATATTTGGCATAGTCCTACTTTACTTGAGTATTTCATTGCATACTACTTAAAGCAATCCTATGTAACTTTTACTGAATCTTGACTGAACGGCCAATGTGGCCACATGTTGTCACACATAGGGTAATAGTACAAGTAAAGAAGAGTCATGAAGTCAGCAATTTTGAATTGAGCAGGGTTACAATTGATCATGTTCCTAACTTTTCATATATAAAATCTATTGATTTTGACTTTCCGAAGTTGCATGGTGTTTATTTAACACTCATTAATATTTAATTGCTTTTCAGAGGAAAATATGGTCTAGTAAAGTAACATTTTCACTTGGATTTTGGATCTAAGTGCTTCTTCCATCTCTGACCATGTTAAAATCCTGCCTAGTTGTGACATTAATTCCTTTTAAAGAAACCAGAACTGATATGATGCACAAAGCACCAGTCGTGATGAGTTGTCGCTTCTTGTTTGCCATTCTGTCTGCGCTCAAGCAACGAAACACAATCCCACGGAGTCTTCAGTCGATTACACAGTAATTGTGGTCGTTGTAACGGATTCCATCTTGACAGGTTGACTGTGTAATGTGACAGGAATGTCTCAGAGGAAACGTAATAGCATCTGGAGTTGCAGCTTTGAGGCTATGACATCACCCTACTCACTGAGATTTCATATTATCTTCATTGGTGAAGAATCTCGCAGTTGAGATGACGTGTCAGACCTGTTCTGAAGGATTTCTTCATCTACTTTATTCTCTAAAACTTTCTTTCTCTGTCTGTTGTGCGTTCTCCTTCCTGTCTTCTTCCATCAGTCCCCTGTCCTCCCCCTCCGCTAGCCCTATATTCAGCCGAAACACGCTACCTCGGAAGCAGGACAGGTAAATGTACCTGTGTGCAGTGTTAGGCTTCTGGTGAAACAGCTGTGGAGGTTCCTATTAAACCACCGCCTGCTGCCACACAGAGAGCGTCACAAAGAACCACAGAGAAAAGCTCTGTGTGGTAGCATGTTGTATTTTATGTTTTTTGTGTGGAAGTGTGTCACTCTGTGTGGTAGTTTGTGGTTATTTGTAGGACCTCTAGCTCATGTATGAATGGAAATTTGGAGTTGTGTTTATGAGTAAATGTGATGTTGTCTGTGTGGGTGTTGGCAGCTTCAGCGTTTTTGTTTAGTGGTCAACTCTAGCCCTATGACTGTTCACATACTGCCACCTTGTGGTAGAGTTTATATGTGCAGACTAACCCAATAGCATGAGCACAGGAAGTTTATTATTGATTTTACACTGCAAAAATCTCAATCTTAAGGAATGCTTGACAAATTATCATTATATCATGTGGGTTTTTTTATATTTCAGTGCAGTGATATTCCATAGTCTGTTTTTTTATTTTATTTTTTTCAAGAAACCTGTTGAGACGCGGAGTGTTAGGACTGAGTAAAAGTCCAAAATGACATAGCTAGAGATAGAGATTTTTTGCAGTGTGTATGTTAGAATATACTAGTTTATCAATAAGAAAAAAATCTTGCATATTGAAAATAGTAATTAGTAGTCCTTGAGAGATGCATCCACATGTTTTCTTGCCTCCCTGCTTCCTTTGCTTTCCTCCTCTGAAGTGTTTCTCTCCCACAGCGGGCCTCACTGTGGTAGAAACACTCTGCCTAAGAAGGGACTCAGGTACTGATTTCACTTCCTGCTGGACATATTGCGCTTTTTTGCACACTAGTTCACCAAATTGTCTTTTGTCTTTCTTTTTTTCCGCGTCAACATTCTCTCTTTGAGGGAGGCTTGTGCTCACGCTTTTAAAAATGCTTTTGAAGTATTTGTTTGGCACATGCGTTGTTGTGTTGTGCTTCTGTCAAGAGGCATGTCACTTTTTCATCGTGCAGAGCTATCACTGTGTTATGCTGTAGCAGGCTTGCAAGGGGTCAATCTTTCTTTAGCTTCTTTTCTGCTTTTTTTCACCAGTTTCTGTTGCTCACAGCTGCGAATCAGTCTATGTTCACACTGTTGTAATTCCTTCTTTCAGTGTCTGATTCATCCGATGTTACATCCCTGATAATCATCTAACTGCTTAAGAGAAAGAAATCCACCTCACTGATTGTAAAAAGTCAGACATAACATATCCAAATCAACTTCTACTGTAAAAACACAGAATCCACCCTGCACCTGCTCCATTTTGTGTCCTCGCTTCCACTCTAATCTTTTCTTTGACTTTTTGTAGGTATGGGCCGTCCCCACAGCTGAGAGGTCATGAGGAGGCCCGTGATTGGCTGCGCTCCCACTCTACCAGCGGGCTGCAGGAGTCCGCCAGTAACTCCCCGTTCTCCCCTGGCTCCAGCCTAACCTCCCCGTCTGGCACTCGCTTCAACTTCGGACAGCTCGGTATGCCCCACACGGCACCAAAACCCAGTAATCCATGTGTGTTTACTTTAATCATTAAGCAATTGAAATGTTCTCTATTCACTGAGACAAAGTAAAGCCTATGAAACAATTTCAGAACCTAGTGCATACACCTAAGCTGCATTTCCATCAAACCCTAAACCCAAGATTGTTCTTTTTAGTTAAAAACAAATTAAAATATTAGGAGGTGGCAGTTTTTCAAGTGAGTGAAATTACCATTACTCTTATTCTACATTTAACTTGATTTACGCTCTGTTATATACATACGGCTCTAGTCATATCGTTATACTTTATATTATTATACAGAAAATTTAACAATTAATCATTCTGGACATTTATCAAGCAAAATGGCAAACATTATTTTTCAGCCTCTCAAATGTGAGGAGTTGTTTTTCAGTTTAATTTAATTATAAACTGAATATCTTTGACAATCTGAATCAGCAGGTGTTACCTCGGACATTTTTCACAGTTACTGACACTTTATAGGCTAAACAACAAATCCTAAAACATAACAATAATGAGAAGAAATTCCTTTCATGACATATAATTGACAGCATCCAGCCCGACCTCAGCAGCTCAGATCAACCTTGCCGGTCTGCGCAACAACAGTCTGACCAATCAGGATGTCCCCATTGACCCTTGCGGCGACAACCGACTGAGAAACTCCTGCATGTCACTTGACGAGAAGACTCGCACTATGAGCAGATCGGGCTCCTTCAGGGACGGCTTTGAGGAAGGTAAGAGGAGGCAGGAGAAGGATGGAAACAAGACAAGTGTATTGAATATTCCGTTACTGTGTATGAGTCCTGGCCATGTTTTCTTCAGACGTTTGGAGAAATCTGTAATTACGTGTAATCTTTTTCCAAGACCTGGATGTCTACATCTCTCTATGACTCTAAAGCCTCCCCTTCCTTATTCCACATCCCCGTGCCAAAAGAATTATTATTCCATTTGTTTAGAGAACATTAGGACGGATTACAACCGCTCCTCTAAGAAAAGCCCTCTATCCCTTTAGACGTCCATAATCAGCTTTGGGGCTGCTTTGTTTCTGCATAAGCTTGTTTATTGGGAAAAGTACCCCATCGTGCTTTTCCCACCAGCAGGCAGACTCCCTGCTCAGACGAGGTTTCTGTGCTGAAGCTGCTCAGTCCTCAGGGCCATAGAAACACTGCGCTTTGATCTAGAGGAAAAAACTAAGACTCAGAGTGAGGTAGGCGTAGTATTGTGTTAAAAATGGTTCTCTTAATGGGAAATTTCGGCCCTAAACAATTAAATAATGTTAAAAAGCTACAGTTGGTAGTGAACTTGCATTTCAGCAAACTGCAATATAAACAACAAACCACAATTTAAACGGCCTCGAGACATTTTTTTTGCAAGTAATGTACACAGGGCTCGATTTTTCATGATATTTCAGCTTGTGTAATCAACAAGATCCAAAACGTTTGCACTCCTGTCAAGGTTGTCAAAAGGTATTGTGGGAAATGTAATTAAAGTCACAGATGAATATCACAGACTGATATACGCATGACAGAGTAAAGATATCCAAGGACAGATTTGCCCTGCAGAGAGACAATGATTTTGAGAGCAAATCCAGTGACACTGAAACGGGTTTTGTAAATGTGCCTTGGGGGAATCTGCTTGTTCTTTAAGAAACCAGGTAAATCCAGACTTACTTTTCTTTACCAGATTCTGAAACTCAGTTCAGCCTGACCAGATGTGTACATGATTCTATTTCTATATATGATATATAAGTCTATACAATGCATTTTTGCCTTCCTCAGAATAAAAGCCTGATTTTATCTGAGAATATATAATGATAATTAATTTAATTTCAAAGGTCAGTCAATATAAACATCAAGTCTGTAAAGACAAAATCAAGATGTCCACAATCTGTGAACCAGCAAATATAAAATACAGTAATACAGAGAAATATTAAACAAGAAAATCAATTAAATGCTCGTCTTCAAATTAAGGAATAAGTGTTCAGATGATCACATGATACACCATGTACTTGAACTCTGGAACCACTTCAACAGCTAGCTAAGATGATGTGTGATTGTTATTATAATAATAATAATAATAATAATAATAATAATAATCATCTTTATTTATAGAACAATTACAGCAAAACAAATACATGATAAAAGCAAGAAAACACAAACTAAAATACGTGTTTTAAGTAAATATAGAATAGCATAAAATCAAATAAAATCGGGAAAGGCTCTCCTATAAAAGTATGTTTTAAGAAAGAGACTTAAAAGAGTTCACTGACTCAGCCGACCTGATTTCCTCGGGCAGGCTGTTCCAGAGCCTCGGGGCCCTGACAACAAACGCTCTTTCCCCTTTAGTTTTCAGTCGAGACTCTGGAACAGAACGCAGATTATGCAACTACATACATCTGGAAACTTATTTAAGTTGTGTTTTGTATATGAGGGTTAATTTTGTCGTCTAAGAGGAGACTGCTGTCAATCATCTATTGTACAGCTGTCTTTAAAAGATGTTTGTCTCAAGCAAATGCCTTGAGTTTTTCACAGTATTGTAAAGCTATTATACAAATGCATGCACAGTAACACAGACACAAACTTATCATTATTGGGCCTCCCAGTAGAAAATCACTCTCTCTTTTTCCTAGCTCCATGAGTCTGAGAGTCGGTCTTCACTTTAGAAGCGGAGATAATTACAGGGATCACAGTGAGAGGCGTGAGAGAGACACGATGACATACAAAAACATCCAACATAACTTTCTCTCTCCCTCTGTGTGTGTGTGTGTGTGTGTGTGTGTGTGTGTGTGTGTGTGTGTGTGTGTGTGTCAGTCTGTGAGAACATGCGGTTTGTGTGTAGATGTTGCTGAGGTGTTGAGTTACTTGACCGTGGTTAGATTGACAGGACAAAAGTCACATCATCCACCCAACACTTTGTCAGACCTGTCCTGTGTGAGAGCAACACCACAACACACTGTCACTTCATCTCTTTCACTCAAACCCTCCCACTCACCTTTTATATTTGCTCACTTTGTCCTTATGTCTGCAGAAATTGGATTTTCCAATCAAGACTTATTGACTGTACATAAACTTATTTTTTAGAGATGAACAGAGATGAATGGTGTTCACATTTGTAATTACCACCACAATTACAACCACACAGTGAGCCTAGCTATTGTCATTGGATATATTTTCTATGGAAGAAGCATTGTCCTGCATTATATTCTGGAACAGTATGTAAACCGACATCTGTGAATAATTAAATTATTGTAAGAGAAAGAAGCTTCTTATTTTGTTCTGAGTCTTTGTCTCTCATTTTACCAGGGTGGGAATCAAATACTCACACTGCAATAATATCATGATTATAATGGTATCTCAAAAGAAGTGACTATAAAATAATATGAGACAGTCTGTAGTAAATCATAGTATCTTTGTAACCATGGACAAAAACAAAACTTTTCTTTATTTTCCCCATTTTTTTCATCAATGTTGTAAACCCGTCATGAAGAATTTTGAAGAATCTGCGTTAAAATTGCAGTCAGTTTTGCAGAATGTTATAGACAACTGAGGTTAAAGAAAATATAAGAAAGTACATTCTCAATGCTAACACACAAACGGCAACATCTGCACATGTGCCATCAATAAAAGGTAAGAAAGGTTAGAAAGAGATAAAACGTTTGTAGTAAAAAAGAAAACAGCTCTACCAGAGAGCAACTCCAGTCTTTTCATCCTGTGTAAAATGGATTTAATAAGCACATTTCCACAAAATCAACACTAACAACAAATGACTCCAAAAAGCATAACCCATATTTAATGAAAACAGTGATAGGGCAACTTGGTACCAGTTTGTTTATAATTTCTCACACGTTCACAGAACATATTGCAATAAAAAATCATAGTGATTATTGTTCACCCACAAAGGAAGAAAGGAAAGGAATACCTAAAAAAAACATGTCACTTTATAAGCCTTTATATCAGTTCTAGGACTGAAACTAACGATTATTTTTGTTATGGATTCATCTACAGATTGTTTTCTTGATTAGTCAATTAATTGTTTTTTCAAAAAAGTTTCAACAAATGGCCAAAATAATATTCCACAGCCCAAAGTGATGTCTTCAAATGTCTTGTTTTATTCGACCAATAATCTGAAACTAAGTTTACTGTAAGTACTTGTTGCAGCTCTAGTCACTTCAGGTCCAATAACAATAAGTTCACATTAAAAGATCTTATTAGATATGACCTGCACAAACTGATTAATGAGCTCCAAACCAGACAGCAGTGAATCTAAATTAATCTCCTTTTCATGTGGCTCCCAGCACGTATTTGATGTCTAGACCAAATTTAGTTAAAAGTGAGTCTTCAGTAAATTAATGTCTGTTCCCTGTGAGGTGAGTGAATGAATCTGCTGGGATCAGCTCAACCTCTGTGTGTGGTTAATTACGTCACGCTGCTGATCCTTTCTGATCTGTTCTCAGGCAGGAAACAGTGCTGGCGTTGTGTTCCTGCCTCTGATGTGTGATTAGTGGCTGAGTCATTAGCACTCAGGCTGTCATTAGTTGCGCCACAGCCCAACTGTAACATGTAGGAGTTTTTATCTTTATGACCGCAGAGCTGCACTCATTATGTTCATGAGGAGGTGGGCAGTCGGGGCGGGGCAGGCTAGAGGAACAGTGTTGGGTGGGCAGGGTTAGAGCAGGGTGGGTGGTTTGTGTGGGGAGACTGTCTGTTCATAATAAAGGTCACTGTGTGTACAGATATATTTTGTAATCCCCACTTTTACTTGTTTTTTTCTCTTTAGTTCATGGATCATCCCTGTCTCTGGTCTCCAGCACGTCTTCCATTTACTCTACAGTGAGTACACAAAACGTCAAGAGTTATTATATGAATAATTTATGACTCCTGGTGCATATAGTTAAATACTAATACAAAGCTATTTTGATACATAATTTTTTTGAGGCACATTTTGTTTTGTCATTACAGTTTCTCCATTAAAGAGCATTGACAAGTTTATTTCTCCACTGTAAAATATCCTGCTCAGGACATGTCTCGGTCAGAAACCTTTAATAACCAAATTAAAGGGATTAAAACGTTTGGTTCTCAGAATTAGGGTGCATACAATGTGACCGCAATGTCCCCCGTTCCCCTCATTCATGTTTCCTGTCTCCTTTTTCACTGTGTAAACAAAAAAGTTGTTCTCAAATATCAATAACGGTATTAGCCTCAAAAATACAGATAAATAGAGCCAGACATACATTTAAGTATGAAATTAAACACTGTACAGTTGTTTCAGTAATAGAGCACAATAAGCATTAAATTATTGCTGAGAAAAAAAAACCTGAAGAATGTTGAAATATTTAGAGTATTTGTTACAAATTTACCATCTAATGCATTCAAACATCTGACTCAAACACCCTGTGAGAAAAAGGTCTGGCTATAGCCACACAGGGAAACTTGGAAGAGCCCACATGCATACATAGTAGCCAATCCGAGCCTAGTCTTCATAGCATAGCTCCTCCTCCCTCTGTGGGCGGGTTTATTCACCTGGCCAGGTGTAGCAGTGAAACTCTCAGACATTGGATCCTAGCTCAGCACTGGCTGGTGCTTTGAGTCTGAGAATCACAGGTTTGAAATCAGAGGGGGGGAAGAGACTGAAGGCAAAATGATGGCTACTTTATCCCTGACGGGCACCGTCACATCCTGGCAACAAACGGTAGGGATAAGGAGGAGGACTGTAGAGTGCAGGAGTACTTAAGCAGCTGTAAGTCAAACATTACATTACATAGAACATATAATCAGATATGGAGTAAACTAAGGTAAAGCTGATATATCTCCTTAGATGTGGATTCATATCTGAAAAACAAATCTAATGTTTGAAAATTCCACGCCACTCGTGGGATTGTTTTTGTTTGTTTAGTACTGGTTTGGGATTTTGCATCAGAGTGAGCTCTCTGTGTTTTGTCTGCGTTTCCAAGACAAATAGCTGCTCTGTTTGTGTATCTTGGATCAACTGGTCATGTGTGCGTGATTGACAACTCTGTTTGGGTGTGTAGACCATGTATGGACAGATGCCACATTAGCTTACACACAGCCATGCATGCACAGACACATAGGCTGTGAAAACCTGTTTTAGTAATTAGTGATTTGTTGATAGAATCACATGAAAAATCATTAATTATCAGCTGTTCTGCTTCATTGCTTCTGTCACAACACAACCACTGTGGTAAAAATACTGACAGATTGTGGATATATTTTTTTTAAAGGAAAGCACCCATACAGCACATACCTCCAGCAAGACTACATTATCGTCTACATTTGTCATTTTAATATTGGAACATGTCAAGAAACCTTTTGTCTGCATTAGAATGCATAGTGATCAAATATCATGGGATTGGGATACGAGCCAGATTTGCTCATTCAGAAGTAAGTGCAGATGTTCACAGTGAAAATGTTTAAAACATGCAAGACCAAGAGCATAATCACTTTGGCGAGTGTAAGACAGCTTAAATGAATGGGTAGCCCTGAAATTAAAAAAATAATCATCAAATCTATAAAATTTTACTTACATAACAGCCTCTTTCAAATTATTCTGTTAAGTTTTTGTAGAGAACTGAGAAAATCATTTAAACTGACGTCAAATTTTAAACAAGCTGTAAACAGCTTCAATCAGTTTAAGCAGAACAATACCAGATGCAGTTTCAGAACCCGGTGCAGCTTGTTTACATGTAAATGTTTGACTGTTTGGTGCACAGCAGCGGGGTGTGTTGTGTTCGTGCGAGTATGTGATTTGCCTGCTCTCTCTCTGTATGCATTTTCCTACCTGTCTTTTCTTACTATTGTTCTGTGTGCAGCCTACGGAGACAATGGGACACTCTTCTCTCTCACACACACACACATCTCAGTAAAATGCCTTCAGGAGGATATCTCTGCTTTCCAGACGTATTACACCAGACAGTCTCCTCCTAAGTTTATAAAGCTCGTCCATGGAATTAATAAATCAAACAAGAGTCAAGACATGTGCATGGTCTGCCCTCTGGCAATTTTAACTGCTCTTCTTTGTCATTAAAGCATGTCAGAATTCAGTCAGTACATCCTCTAACGATTTTCTCTTTTTATGATGTTTGTTTTCACAGAATGAGGAGAAGTCTCAGTCGGAGGTAAGCATCAGCCTGCGCACAGCACTTCTAGCTCTTTAATTTTCTATGTGCAGTTGCTGAACTTGTTGGAACATGGGGGGGGGGTGGTCACAGTTGTATCTAGTTACACGTGTAACTGTATTGTGACTGACCCTGTAACAGGCTCTTGTTCCTCTCTGCACACCTGTGTACACTTGTATGTGCTCTTTTATGCATACACTGTGTTTCATCTCTTAACCTGAACATATCAGAGCTCCCATCTGGGAGCCTCCCTCATTTGTTGCTACTGTGTTTTTTTTTTTCCATAATGCATCTGGATGCATGTGTATGACTTTGCATGCTTCTATGGCGCAGGTATGTATGCTTTTGTCTTGGTGTTTTTTGATGTCGTGCTTCTTTACGTCCTCAGATTCGCAAGCTGCGCCGGGAGCTGGACGCCTCCCAGGAAAAAGTTTCCGCCCTGACGACACAGCTCAGTGCCAATGTAAGTGAGCAAGCACACAGACACACGCACAGTCCTGAACAAACCTATTTGTACATGTATACTGTCTCCTTGCAGTGTTTATTGTGCCACAATTAATCACTAATATGCTAATTAAAAAAAACTTATTCTGAGGTTATCAGCGAAGTCTGTGCAACTTTGCCCAAAAATTAGATTTCAAATTATTATCAAGGTATATATTGCATAGAAAATAATAAAAGATTTCAGGTGGTTTGGGATAATGGGCATTACAAAAGTGGCCTTTTTTTATAAAAAAATTCCAAGGTTTTTACTAAATGTTTATAAAAGGGACATCAAGCAAAAATTCTCTTCAGGTCAGTTTTTCTTTTTTAAATGCAGTAGGTTTGATTGTACAATTAAACTAGACCAAAGTCTTCTGCCACGAAAGTTGCTCTATGAGGATGTACTTTAGCACAGCAATGCTTTGAGAAAAATACTAACTTCAGCATGCCAACATGCTCACAAGGATATTGCTAACATCCTGTGATGAGATGACTATCATGGTTTTGCCAAAAGACAGATTCATCTTCAAAAAAGCTGTCTCCCTCAAGCACCCAAACATTTACTAAATACACGCAAGAATGTTTCATGATATTCATCAAATATTGAACAGATGGCTCGGGTTGAGCACTTTACTCCAAGAAGGTGTAATTTTACATCTGGCAGAACCATGAGAATATCTCTTTAAGTGTCTCCAGACATGATCCTATCTGCCACCCTACCCTCTGTATTGCACAAGTCTCGCCAAACTCTGCTTGTAATCTGCTGCCTAAATCAGTGCACGCTGGTGGTTTAACTGTGGATTAGCGATATGGAAGGGTGGGAAAGGTGTTAGATTACCGCAGAGAGACTGTCATAGATGTGGACAGAAGATTTATAGCTAATGACGCCTGGATACAAGAAAGTGTGGTGTGACTGTTGAAAGAAAAACGGACTAAAAACATTGCAGTTTGTAGTGTGGTGTCACCAGGTCAGATTTAGGGTGTGAAGGAGGGGCTTTGTTCAAATATTTGATTACATACTGCAGACAGATGACAAATTATCTGAACACACCTTGAAGCCCCAGAGGCCGAGACTTTAAGAACATCTTCTGCTGCAAGAAGTCACGACTTGAATCACCCATCAATCAATGCCTTACTCAACTCTCACACACCTCCTGCAGGCATCTGCAGATCATTTATATCTGTAGTCTAAAGCCTGATACAGTATAGTGACGGACAACTGCATTCACACTTGTTTAAACCAGCACAATCAGCATTGTCACACTATATGGATTCATTTACAATTTTAATTATTTATTTTCACATTATTTTCTTATGACATGCAATGCCTATATGCCTTGTTTGCAGCCAAACCCACCTACCTATTCTGAAGCCTCCCATGTTGTCAGAAAGTAGCAAATTATTTCTTATACTATCTGTACACTATGTCGGCCAGAAATACATCAAATCAAGTTAGAACATAAAAATTGTAGTCAAAAGAGGTTTACTCAAAGATGGCTTTATGTTGTCATCAGTACAGTCTTGGGCCTTAGCATAAATGAATGGCTCTCGCTCCAAGGACTGTTTTTGGTAAAGATTATGTAACGGTTTGGCGTCAGTGTTGTGTTTGTAGTGTGGGAACCTGTCCAAAGCTGACCTACAGGGAATAAGAATTCTTCACAGGGTGTTATTATTTTGCACGATTATTTGGATTGGTTAAGTTTTCATTTTGGTTTGAAGATTACTTGACTGATGTCGTGTTTTGGTTTTAGCCCCGAGATTGATGCAGTTGGGGCATTTTTTCAGCTGAAGGTCTCTGCTGCACAGCTCTGTGGAGAGGTCTTCAGTCCCTCATATTCTTAAAACAACGAATTTGTTGTTTTTATCTTTTTTTTATATTTATTTTTCATACTTCTCAGTCAGTGTTTGTTAGCCAGATATCTCAAAGTTACAGGTTGTATTTGGCTGAAGTGTGGTGGACAGATCTTTCTTGGACAGCAGATTAGGTTCTGGGATTTGAAAGTCTGCGCTAAGCCATACTTATTTTGCCGTTTTAAATTCTAGTTGGAAATTCTGACTTGCATGTGGTATTTAGTAGCAAGTCATACCTGTAAAATGAATGAGGCTGTGGCTTTGCAAGGTGGAGAACTGAATTAAGAGTTGGAGGTTTGAGCTCTCCAGTTTACATTTAGCTTTTCAATAGATTTTTACAACAGTTGCACAACTTGTTTTCCCACAGGCTCACCTGGTGGCAGCGTTTGAACAGAGTTTGGGCAACATGACCATCAGACTGAAGAGTCTCACCTTGACGGCAGAGCAGAAGGTGAAAACACCTCTTGTTTTATAACACTGGGCTGTACAATTATCATTTTGCACTGTCCCTGCAGCTGATTTGCTGGTTTAATCTTCTTTTTCATTTTTTCCATTTAGGACTCTGAGCTGAATGAGTTGAGGAAGACCATCGAGCTGCTAAAGAAGCAGAATGCTGTTGCTCAGGCTGCCATCAATGGAGTCATCAACACACCTGAACTCACGCCCAAAAGGGACAGGACAGGTACAGACAAACGCTACACAAATCAGAGATATTTGATAGCCAAAGCTAATATTTTTAATTAGAATTTTGTGTCAACATTTCAGAAGTTGACTAATGCATTTGTAATGCAAATAAATTAATATTTAGTGTACACATGCAAGATGGCCTCTGCACTCTTGTATGAATGTCTTGAGGGACAGGTCTTTGAGAAAGGCCATTGAAGGACTAATTGTACAAAAAGGATCCCACAATCTGTCCGAACCACAAAGCAACTACAACATTTTATTGATAAGCAGACATTGTTATTTAATGAAAGACATATTTCAAATTAATATATGACAAGCGCATACATTTTCTGCCACTGTCTGTCTCTCCTCAGGCAGCAGTAACGGTAGTCCACAGCAGCAGAATCAGCAGCCAGACCTGCGCATCAGAAGGCAGCACTCCTCTGACAGCGTCAGCAGCATCACCAGCGCAACTAGCCACTCCAGCGTGGGCTCCAACATGGATGCCGATTCAAAGAACAAGAAGAAGAACAAGAAGAACTGGGTAAGATACTGCAAATTTAAAAGTTATACATCTGAAGACGCATGATTTCACTGTGCAATGAGACAAGCAGCCAGCACTCATGGTGGTTTGTTCTTTTTGTCTTTTCATGTGTGTGTTGGTGTCACATTTTTGGGAATCTCCCCTTTTAGGCTTCTTTCACTGGGGAAAAGGTGATTAAACTATATATATACACTTCATAGATTCAGTCCTGTTGAATACCAAGTAATAATTTAATTGGTGATTTGCAGGTCAAAAGATCTTCAGACATCTAGGTTAAAACCGAGCTAAATGTGGTTTTAGTAATCGTCTTTTGGCCAGCAAAATACCAAGTCAGTGCCGACTGGCTAGTGTCTAGTCCTAGTGTCAGTTCCTTAGTTGTTTTTTATTAGTGATCATACAAAAATAACCTTACATGCTTTAACTTACAACTTCAAACACATTAACTTTTTCCTTTTTGTTTTTGAAAGACGTTTTTGTGCAACAGAGGACAAATAAAAGATGACGACGTACGCAACTTTTTTTTTTTTTCCCCTGTCTGTCGTCTTGTAGACTGAAACGATGTTGTGTTAGCCGCCTGGGGTTAGAAGTATCTGATCCTGATGTTGAATTCTAAGAAGATCAGTGTGGTGATTTTGTGTGTGTTAAAAGACATGAGCTGGTGTGGAGTTTCCTGCTTTAGGTCACAGTGATAATAAACGACCCTCCTGTGTGCATGTGGATGTGCTTCCAGCTGTCAGTTTGTGCAGATGAGACCGCACAGGAGGCTCCTCCATGCAGGTGCTCATGTGGTGTGTATGATGTGGAGTACATAGGGGCTACGTACGTTGAAGAGTATATAATAGATCATGAAAGACCCCCTGTTTCATGGTGGTTGTGATGTAGCATTAGCCTGCAGCTGCCTGGATGTAAAATAAAATCAGCTTTTGTACTGTAGGGGCCTGTAGATTAATCTCTTAGTTTAATCTCTGTCCTTCCATAACCCATTAACCACCCAAACCCATATGATCATGTGCTTTTGTCTCTGTCTTCCTTTGCTTCGCTTCATGTGGCAGGTTTATGAGGTAAGAATGGTATGCTGTGTGAAATGAAAGAAACAAAGCTGCCTAACCCCTGCACTTTTCTAGGTTACTAACCTCTGTCCTTTTTCTCCTGTCCTCTGCTGCCACAGTAGTGCCTGCCTCTCCCTTAAAACTGCTCTTATGACAATTGAGTCAACTCTTGAAAAGAAAAAAAATCCACTTGAAATTACTTAAACACAGAGAAAGGGTATTAGTGATATAGCTTGTGTCTCTGTTCCAATTTTAAAAATCCAACAGTGAACCAAATGTCCATATTTCAACCCCCACATGATAAGAAAAGAGAATGAGTCTGTTTCAGTAGAGTCACAGCACTTTTGTCCTATCTATTCAGCACAGAGGCCATTTCTCACAAGTTCTCATGAAATTTTATAAGGAAATCAAAAAGATATTGGGACATTCCTAAAAGTGTAGTTTGAATATGACTCATCATTTTTGTTTTTTTACAGATTTTTTTTAAATGAGCAATGACAAGTACAGCTTACAAAACATTGCTGTTTTAGTTAATTATGTTGCAAATTGTGCATCAGATTGCCTCTAAATAAGTTTAGAAAAATAATAGTTCAATTAAAAAGTCATTGCACTGCAAAGTACATTTTTAATATTTAATTTCCAGTGTGAAACACACACACACGCACATCTGAATGGAATTCTCTCTCTCAAAAGACTGTCAACACTGTCACCTGCTTCCTGTGATCTAATCATTTTTAATTATTTATTCAGATACTGATTTTCACCATTTTAATATAAATATACAATTCCAATTTTGAAAACAAAAACAATGAGCCATGAGTAAAGTATAAATCAGTAGCTATACACTCACCTTTCTCTTGCGTTTAGAGCTGCTCAAGTCATAAGACAGCCTACCCATAATTCCCTTTTTCCTTCTGACTCACCTACACTTTTTAACAGCTGTTTTCCTCCACTCTCCCCGGCACACTCCTCCTCCTCTCCCTCTCAGCCGTGTGTTTTTGGTGTCCCTCGCCTGCTCACATTGTCCTCCTTTCTCTGTTTTCTACCTGCAGCTGCGGAGCTCCTTCAAACAAGCGTTCAGCAAGAAGAAATCGCCCAAGTCGGCCTCTTCTCACTCTGATATCGAGGAGATGACAGACTCGTCGCTGCCGTCCTCCCCCAAACTGCCCCACAACGGCACCGCAGCCTCCAGCCACATGCTAAGGAACACGCACTCCAACTCACTGTACGTAGACCTCATCACCTCATAGTTGCAGGACTGGGAGCTCTGTCTTATCCTATAGAAACATAAAATCTACTCTTAAATCTAAATATTTCATGTCACTAAACTGTGTGTGTGCACATACAGATTGTCTGAGTGTCTGGACAGCGAGGCAGAGACTGTGATGCAGCTGCGCAGTGAGCTCAGAGAGAAGGAGATGAAACTGACTGATATCCGCCTGGAGGCTCTCAGCTCTGCTCATCAGCTGGACCAGCTCCGGGAGGCCATGAACCGCATGCAGGTCTGCAAATAGACACACACACACACTTGTATTAGAGAACGTCACATCAAACAAATATACAACTTTGTTACTTGAATTTACCTAATTGATGAACAGTGTTATTATCTTGCAAAGCAGTTTTTATCTTTAATAATAAAAACTCTTTGTAGTTTTAGTTTGAGAAATGCTTTATGTAAACAAGCTCTCGTAGTATTGTTTAGTTGTACTAGCTTTCAAAACATTGCACTAATTGATCGGATTATGGTGATTCAATAAATTGTCAACAATTTCTAACTCTACAACTACACCTGACTTAACTTCCGGTTCAGATTTTGGAGACATTTGAAAGGACACTCAACAGGCATTTAAATACAGAAGGGGGGGCTGAAGGGGGAGCTATCATTTAAGTTTAGAATTGAGTTTACTTCATCTGTGCATTTGTGTGTTTCTGCAGATGGAGATCGAGAAGCTGAAGGCAGAGAATGACCGTCTGAAGGTGGAGAATCAGGGCAGCAGGACGGGCTCCCAGGCCTCCATCTCCTCCTCTCCTCCCCCTCACACACACAGCCAGGCTGTGGGAACTGTACCGGGGCTCTCCCAGCACAGCCTCAACCTCACCACCAGTGAGTCCACCAGCCTGGGTAAGACAGAGCTAATGTCATGGGACCTACACAGTTCCTGGTAGATTTAAATTAGATACAAAAAAGCCTTCGACCCCATGTGACAGTTGGGACATACAGTATAACATTATCTTTTTTTTTTTTACGTAAACATTTTTCATTAATGGGTTAGTTATTATGTTAAATGCAGAGATTAGAATTTTCTGTCACAAGCACAAATGTATATCAAGACTGTGTGAGATCACTGTAGACAAAAGGTGAATCATTTCCTCCAATAAACAGATGGCATATGTGTCAGATTATTACACAGTGAATTTACTTGCGCTTAAGTAACTGCTTATTGTCGGCTTTCTGCAGCTTGCTTTCTGAAAGGGAAAACATGGAAAACTGGCCATTACCTTAATTTGAATTTGGTTGTTTTACCTTGGTACTTAAAACTGTCAAATCCTTACCAAGGTCATGGGAAATGTGGAAACCTTGTCTCACTTTGCTCTTCCTTCCTGTCAGACATGCTGTTGGATGACACAGGCGGAGAGGGAGGGATGAGGAAGGAGGGGCGACGCGTGAAGATGGTCGTCAGCCTGGACGAGGACAGCAAGTGGGGAAAGGTGAAACCTGTTTGAAAAATACAACTCAAACAGATTTTTGTTGGTGAAGATGGTTATTGTACCTGTAGGCTTTTTGATATCTAAAACCAGTCGTGTTTTTCCACCACAGGAGGGCCAGTCTCGTCATTTTCTGATTGGTTGCATCGGTGTGAGTGGTAAAACAAAGTGGGACGTCCTGGACGGAGTTGTCCGACGCCTTTTCAAGGTAAAGATAAACAGGGAGATCTGCGATACAGAATCCGATAACAAGACGATGTCACAAACACCTCGGGATCAGTGTTTTTAGTGTTCAGTTTTAAGTCTTTGAAAGTTAACTAAAAGTTTTTAAGGATCTTGGCAGTTTTATACTATAACAAAAAATGCAGAGTTGTTTAAAATACAACTATTTTCTTAACCACTCTGAAAGGTTCTTCCGTTCAGAAAAAGCACTGTAGCTGTTATCCTTTTTATAAACTTCACAAAAACTTTACTTTAAATGCCGAGCCTTTGTATCTGACAGGAGTACATCACCCATGTGGACCCTGTGAGCCAGCTGGGCCTGAGCTCAGACAGCGTGGAGGGATACAACATTGGAGAGATCCACCGGCCCAGTATTCCCAGCGCCGCCCACACACCTGAGCTGCTGCCCTGCGGCTACCTGGTGGGAGACAGCAACACCATCAACATCCAGCTCAAAGGTACCAACGCCTCATCAAGCCAACACTGCAAATGATAATTCTGTTCTGCTAGTGTGTAAGGAGTAATCATTTCTTTAGTTACAGTCAAGTTTATTATTGTTATTTACACTACTCAGCTGCTCGTATTCATGTTTTTAAGTCATGTGCCAAGAGAAAATCTTGTCAGAAAACAATGGATACTGAGAACTTTGGAAATCCAAAGGCATCCATTTGGTTGGTTAAATTTGAAATAGAAGATCGAGATGGAAATTTGGCTTTTGACTGAACGCTGGTGACATTTCTCTGGTTCGTTGTCAAATGCATTGTGGGAAATGTCCATAATGACTTAGTAAAGTAGACATAGGCAAGGCAGTTTAAAGGTTTACAAAATAATTCAGTCACAGCGGTGCATCTTGTGCTGTAACTATTAGTCCATTAATCAGCCAGTCTGTGGCTTTTGTCCAAACGAATAAATCAACAACTGTAGTTTTAAACTTTTACTTTTAAAGTCATTTAGGCCTGTTGAGCAAAAATGGCCCGTCAAATGTGACCATTTACTGCTTTTCGCTTAATAATATCATGATAAATTGAATATCATTGAGTTGAGTTGTCATTTCCACGTGTGTGCGCGAGCAGCCTACCAAGTAAAGGAGGTTAAACAGGTAGCTTGTTGTCAAAAGACAAAGGGAGTAGTCTGATTTGCATATAATTGATACTACCTAACAAAAACCTCAGGCAAAGCATACATAAAAGTTTTAGGAAATGAATAAGATAGTATCATCTAAACTCTTTTGACATGTGTCCAGGTGTGAGCAGTGAGAACGTGGATTCGCTGGTGTTTGACACTCTGATTCCGAAGCCAATGCTGCAGCGCTACGTCTCCCTGCTGAAGGAGCACAGACGCGTCATCCTGTCGGGCCCCAGCGGTACAGGAAAGACCTACCTGGCCAATCAGCTATCTCGACACCTGCTGCTGCTGGAGGGCCGACCTCTGACACCGCACTCTGTTGTCACTTTCAACGTGGACCACAAGTCCAGCAAGGTAAATAATACTTGGTGCAAATTCTGTATTGTCTGCACCTGCATCCATCAAAGTGTTAGTAGTAGTTTGTAGAATTTCTCTATAGTAGGTCACACTGGCAGCTATGTGGAAATCATGTATAAATTTGTCAGCTATACAGACTTTTTAGCTTTTTTTCTGTTCTTTAGTATTGAAACATTAAAATTGACGTCTTGTATAGGTTGAATTTAATTCTGTTGCATTTTCTGATGAATTACAAGTCTATTTTCATATTTCAAACAATAGCCATAAGAGCTATAATCAAATCTATCTATCTATCCATAAACAACTAACCCACTATTTATTAAACTAAAGGCTGTAAATTTCAGATGTGCGTTAGGTTACTAATCAAAGAAATCACTACATTAAAGAGTGCGTACGTAAATGAACGTCCGTAACATTCAAGCCCTTACCAAACAAGTTCACACAATGCTAAATGCAATTAAGCCCATCACTGCCAGGTAAATCTCTCTGTATTCACAGTATACCATGGTTTTAAAATCTGGTGTCTGTGGCAACACTCCCTGCTGGCTTATTGGTAGTGATGTGTTTTATGCCAAAAGTTGATTAAAGTGAGAGAAAGCCATTTTGACCTGCAGGTTTTTAAAAATTAGCATTTTGGCATTAGTGCTAGATGGTAAAATTAGGGCTCCATGTTGTTAATTTAACACATCAAGACAATTAAGATCATCATATTAAAGAACTTAACCTTCCTCTAATCGTCATCCAAACATGCTGGCTTATACTAATAATAACATGATTTCAAATGCTCTCTCTCTCTGTAGGAGTTGCGTCAGTACCTTTCAGGTTTGGCGGAGCAGTGCAGCGGTGTCCCAGGGGCGGACAGTCCTCTGGTGGTCATTCTGGACAACTTGCACCATGTCAGCTCCCTGGGAGACATCTTCAATGGCATCTTCAACTGCATCTACCAGCACTGGTAAGTTCACAGACACATGTGCACAATCATGCTAAACATGAATGTTTGGATACACATCCACTGATTTACTATTGAGTAAAGACTTAAAATATGCAGGTTTGTTAAAAGTATGTACCTATGTATAGTAAGACAACAACATTTGCTTCCTGTTCAAACCTTCAACCATTCTACTTTAACACAACATATCTGTTGATTTATTAAGTATGGTATGACTTAATGGACTGATGAGAAACAATAATGATCAATGTTTTCTCTCCCTTAAGCCCCTATATTATTGGCACCATGAGCCAAGCCACGTCATCTGCCCCCAACCTGCAGCTTCACCACAACTTCAGGTAAACTGCTGGATGTTGTTGAAAAAGATCTTAAAATAAATTTTTTTTAAATAAAAAAAAAATACATCTCTATATAGGTAAATATGGGGGAAAATGTTATATTGTGATATTTCTAAGTCCTGATATACATGTGTCTTCTCTGATAAGGTGGGTGCTGTGTGCAAACCACATGGAGCCGGTGAAAGGCTTCCTCGGTCGCTACCTAAGGAGGAAGCTGATCGAGATGGAGATTGGCAGCCGAACACGGAACGTGGAGCTGGTGAAGATCATTGACTGGATTCCGCGAGTTTGGCACCACCTCAACCGCTTCCTGGAGACACACAGCTCCTCTGACGTCACCATCGGTAAGTGAATGATGCACCATTAAAGAAAGATCCTTTAATAAATGTCAATGTGTAGAAACAATGAGCGTCTCACCTCTCTGCCCTGTGGCGTGCAGGACCTCGTCTCTTCTTGTCCTGTCCCATAGACGTAGAGGGATCCAGGGTTTGGTTCACCGACCTCTGGAACTACTCCATCATCCCCTACATGCTGGAGGCCGTACGAGAGGGACTACAGGTAACACACTCATGTGCACATACAGTTTGTTCCTTCGATTTGCACTAAATGAAAAATGGACTGATTGGGCTCTGGCCAAAAAACAACAGATTAGGTTTTTGGTGTTGGCCCATGTCTAAGATTTAGGTCATTTTTATTTATTAATTTATTTTTGTTCATACTTTTATTTATTTCAGAGAGACTTGATTTGACACCCTGAGGGGATGTTTGAAGGATCCAGCTGAATGAAGTAGAAATGTAATAAGTTTGACAATTATGGAATTATTCAGATTTGCCCTCTCACTGGACCAGGGTTCATCAAAGTGAAATGGATTCAATTTGCTCTCTTAATTCGCATGTAATTAGCATCTGATTTAATTAGGCAGCAGCTAATTAACTAATAATGATACAATAAGATCACAACCTCAGAGTGGGGCTTTGAAAGACAGAGTTAAGTAGAGGAATTTGACTCCAGACCTACCAGTTTAGAAGAGAAACCAGAATGTAGTGATGCTGAAATGCAAATACTTTTTACTAAAGCTGCAGTTTATCTGCACCCGACTTAACTTGGCTTTCAAAATTTGAAAACTAATCTTTAGTTATTCATATGTTTCTTAAAATGATCTCTAAGAAAATTAAGCCACTGGAATCATACAAAAAATATAGAATATACAATACAAGCCAACACTATAAAATTATCCTATCAAAAAGACTACAGTCAGCTCAGTAGGTGATAAATTTAAGTTTGTTGACCATACAGTTGCAATTCTCCATCCTCTTTGTTTGGTTTTGTAAAATAATCAGATTTTTTTCTAGTAGCTCTTACTTTTACCTGCTGTCACTGAGATTTAGGTTTAGCCTGTAAAAATTAGCACCTGCCTTTTAAAGGCAAAGACATTTCTACGCTAAGCTGACCTTAAATAATTACTCACAAACTGAACCTCAGATTACAGACAGACTGCTCGCCAAGCCACTATGCTTCTCGCGTTCAAATCCAAAATAATAAATCTGCCTCATGTTCTAGTGTGTTTCTGACACAGTCTGTCTCTCTGTAGCTGTATGGCCGCAGGGCTGCGTGGGAGGACCCTGCTGCCTGGGTGATTGACACTTACCCATGGTCAGCCACCCCAACTCCAGCCGAATGGCCTCCGCTGCTGCAGCTCCGCCCAGAGGATGTGGGGTTCGATGGCTACTCTGCCCCGAGAGAAGGAGTCCGGAAAGAGCCACCACAGAGCGACAGCGACGCAGACCCACTGGTGAGCAGAAATGCACATGGAGAAGAACAGTCTCAACTGTGAAAGTTGATTCTTGAGCTTGGAAATAGTAGTTTGAGAAATAAATCTTAACTCACGGTCCACTAACTAGCTGGCTTCCTTGCTTGCTACTGCACTTGAAAGGTAGTACATAAACAGCACATATTTTAAGCGAAAATAGAGCCTTTTGAAATTTTGCAAAACTCAGTAACAGTAATCTCTGAGTTGTAATGCTTGTTAAGACTGACACTTGTTTCTGCTGACAGATGAACATGCTGATGCGTCTGAAGGAGGCGGCAACATCATCAAGTCCACAGAGCTACGACAGCGACTCCAACAGCAACAGCCACCAGGACGACATCCTGGACTCTTCGCTGGAGTCGACCCTGTGATGCCATCAAAATGCAACACTGGGATTTCTTTTCAGGAGGAACTTTTTATAAGAACTGTTCTCACTGTGAGAACTTTTTGTTGAGAATATAATTTCATGCCACAAAATCCAGACACCTTAATTTGGGTGCAGGTAACCCAAATACTTAAAGTTCAAATGCATTTCAGAAAATGGGCAACAAAAGTTTCTACTGCACTGTTTTGTTTTTCACCGCTGTGGCCCGTGGCTCCTCGGTCAGGAGCCTGAAATCTACTTCAGACAGACAGAATAAAAGCACACTGCCTGTCACTGTTGATGAGGCATCATCATTACCATCATCACCTGCCATCAGCATAATTAAACACCAGCCATGAGTTCTCCATCCTCCACCGAGCTGCAAGCTCATCAGGCAGATACTGCCCAGCTGCAGTGTGCCTGAGCTGCCTGCAGATGGTGATGCAGGCCCTTGTCTCTAGAGCATCAGTGAGCTTGAGCTACCAGCTGCTAAGAACACGCAGATGAGGCTGCTGCTGGATGGATGGATGGATGGATGAACAGCCTGCCTTTTTGTGCTCTTCCCTTTCTACAGCTGAAGTTGCATGTGTGATTGCTGGAGGATAAATCAAGTCAAAGTGAATGTTGAGTCCTACAGCATACCTGCTCACATTTCCAAAAGCACCTAGAGATCACAAACTCTAGAGATTTCATTCAACTCCAAAGTTGCAAAGAATGATGTAGGACTAATCCATGAAGGAGATATGTCCACCAAAAGTAATTAAGATGATCAAAATGTTTTTGAATAAAATGTCTGCATTCAGTGAACAAAAAGGATGAGAACTGGTAAACAAAAGAAGTTGGCAAACACTGAAGCAACAGCACTGAAGCTTCACCACCAGAATGATGTCAAAGGCTGTGGAAAACTCAAAACTAAGGAGACAAGTGTTTAATCAAAAGTTCCCATCACAATCTTTGCTGAACTTTAGTTTCCTTTGGAGTTGACACATCATACGGCACTTTTCATCAAGGTTAAATCCTGCATCATAGCTTAGGAACTGTTGTTATACCAGAAAATAGTTCCTTTGAAATAATAACACACTAAGTGCATACGTTTTATTGGGCACACAGTTAAAAAGCTATTCCAACCCAAAACAACATCTGTAGCTAATTTTAGAAAGCAAGGACAAAATCTAATATATAAAATCTCTTAAGAGTCTTTCAGGAGGAAAGGGCACTAACTGGGAAATTAACATTCACCATGGCTAGATATTTCCTTTTAACTTTTACCACTTAAGATAATGTCCTTTTCTGTGTTGTAATTCTCCATTGTAATTTCACAAATAACGCCTCTACCACTTTTAAGTTCTTGCTTTGACCACTTAATAATCTCCTTGCACATTGGCCCAAATAGGCTGTTGTAGCACAAATCTCTTTTGGTGCTGGACTGAATTCTAACAATGCCTTACTCTTTTCTAACAGATATGTGCATTAGCTGATTATTTGTCTAAATGGCTGTAAACTTAACAGGGCTCTGAGTCGACACTCTCCTCAAGCACCTACAGTTGTCAAGGAGCGGCTTCGACCCGTCATCATATCAAACGCCAGTGCTGTGGGATTAAGATGTGAATGAGAAGCAGTACTTTGGGTCTCAAAATAATTTGTATGCATGTATGACCCAGTGCTGTGAAGCTGGTGTAAATATTGGACCTAGCCTGACATTGCCAGACCAATTTACAATTGTGAATTAGCCTGGAACCCCTCAGTTCATTTTCGATTTCCAAGGCAGAGACCAAAATTCCTCTGGACTCAACTGGAGAATCCAGAGGTTAGCGGACTCAACGGAATGTTCCACATCAGTGACAGCCATCTTGGTTGTTTACGAAAATGCCTCAACTTCGTTCCTCTGTACAGTCATCAAATCAAACCCGCCACATATTAGAGAAACGGTTGTGGTTGGCCCCACCTGGGCCAGGTTGGCTGGAAATCTGTTTAGCTTGCAGATTCATCTGGTTCCCAGACTAATTTGGACCACTAGCAAGAAAGAAAAATATATAGATGTTTTGGTGCTCAAAATCAGAACCTTTTGCAGGTTGATTGGATGAGGGAAGTTTAAGAAGACATGTTGATTTTATACCTCATCCCCATCCTTTTACTGTGCTTTTGCCATGCTCATAGTCCGTTTTGATTCTGTGATTTGTGATGAACAAAACTGTCATAACAAACATGTTGAACTAAGTGAAAACTAGTGTATATGCTGCTTTCTTTATAGTGATATAATTAATCTGAAGTTAAAGGTACTTGTGGTTGAATGATAATGTAAAACGGTTTAACATTTCTGTGGCATAGAAAATAAAGAATATTGTACTTTTTCTTTGTTTTAAACATCCCAGCCTGCCATCTAGGAAGGGCAGGCGGGCGTTTAAAGCTGGGGTCATGCATCACTTTCAGTGTTTTTGTCACCGATCCTATGCAACATTCATTCTGTTCTCCAAATGCGTTTTTCAGCACTGTTGAGATAAACAGCATGAACCTGATTTGTGAAAGACGTTTCTGATTTGTTGCCCATGTTCTTTGTCCATGTGTGTATTTGATAGAGGATTTCCTGATACGGTCCTTTGTAAGCACAAACTGATTCTCCGTTTTGTGTAAAGCCTGCTCAGAGGTGTGGATGTTGTGGAAGCATATGACCAGTCTGTCAGTTTATTACTCACAACCTCAATGAATGTTTTGCCTTCTTTGCGATGTACATTTTTTATATGTAACATAACTTTGTAAATAATTATCTTGAAGCATTTTGATGACTTTTTCTAGCTGATTTGTTACAGTACTTGAAAAGGAGTATTTTGTGTACAGTCTCTTTACATCAGAGCAGATTGGTGCTGTTTGTCATCACTGGTCTGTCCAGGGCTCGGAGAATTAATCTATCACTGTACTAGTCTTAAGTTATTGTGATTCAATAAAATTAATAATTATTTATGATTGAATTTTGTCTATCGGTTCTTTTTTTTAAACACACAATTGACTTGGAACTGTTTACAAGTTTATTTGGTATTTGTACAAAAAGTGTGAAATAAACATATATACAGCACATAAAACAATTAATAAACAAATTCATATAAATTAACGAAATAGCTACATTTGTCAATAAACAACTCTATTCAAGGTCATGGTAAAAGGAACTCGGTATTCTTGGCATAAAATGTCCATACAAAATTGTACAAAATACTGTACAATTGAACAAAGCTGTGCAAAACAGCAAAATGTATCAGAAGCAGATCCTGTACAGAGCGCATGCGCTGATGAAGCAACAAACTTGAGTGAAACTTATTTTTTGAACAATGACATTTATGGAGTCGGTTTCAGGGTGGCAGCTTCTTATAAATCTGGTCACAGTCTCATGAAAACAAAGCATGGGTTAGATCTCTATATTTGTTTTTTTTAATAAATTAAGATACTGTTATTTCTTCTTCGTCTGACTCTGAGAAGTCTGAGTGCTTACTGGAAAGAGATGGAGAGGAGATGCTGGACCCTGCCACCCTCATTCTCTCTCTTCTGAATGCTTCTTCCTCATCCTCCTCATCCTCGGCTGAGGACTTCTTGCCCACGTCGCTGAGGTCCGGGTGCGGATTGGCTTTCGTGGGCAGCGTCTGCTCGCGGCAGCCACCGGAAGACAGCAGTTCTCGTTCCTTGGAGTTCCTCCACTTCATCCGCCGGTTCTGGAACCAGATTTTCACCTGTAGACGTTGAGAAAATGAGTGACAAAATTCTATGTCCGATGCAGTGGCTTGCGCAACAACGTCTTTACGCGCAAATTACGCACGACATTTTACACATTTTACGCACATTTGAGCACGCGTGAATTTTTACCTGCGAGTCTTTTAGGGCCAGTTTAGAGGCCAGTTTCTTCCTGTCGGGCTTGCTGATGTATTTCTGTTTCTGGAACATTTTCTCCAAGGCCTTGCGCTGTACATCGGAGAACACCGCCCTCCTTAGCATCCCTCTCCGGGGTTTCCCTCTGGCGGCCAGAGGCCACGAAAAAGTCCCGGGGACGGGGACAACGGATGAGGATGCTACAATACAAACACAGAAGAGAAATTGGAACTTGTTAGCTTTGTTTTCTTTGCCACATCTCAGAAGAAAAAATCTGTTCGCAGAGAAGAAATGATCCTTAAAACAAGCCTCAGTCCCAAATGACTAAGAGATGGGAAAGATATTGCTTTATAAATCTAAACTTAAAACCAGACACATGCAGAGGCTCTATATTAATATAATGATTTCTCTTTAAGGCCATACTTTTCAACCGGTATTATTGGAAGTTTTCCACCTTTGGAACTGTGCAATACGTCTCCGTTTTGAGTGAAATGGCACGAGGTGACTAATTAGCACATTGGCCGGTCCCCAACCGCATTGGTATGGTAAAGAGGTAGCATATCCTTTAAGGAACCCTGTGAGGGCGGATAGAGGAGTTAATAAACCGTGAACGGTAATTGTGTAGTAATGAACTAACGCAGAAAAGACTCTGGACAGGCGGCGAAGGCCATATATTATCGCAACAAAAGGAGATTTACACTTTCAAACTAAACACAACTGCATACCAGAATACTGATGCCTGGAGGGGGGGGGGGGGGGGGGGGGGTAAAAGTGGAGGAGATTTTTTTTCTTCGTGCCTTCAAATCATTTTCATTAAATGAACACGAAAAGCTATTCAGGACGCTGGAGTTGTTTTGTTGAGGCATTCAGCTGAGCCCATGAAAAGACTCCATCTCCATTATGATTTGCCTGAATGAAAGCATGGACTAGCGACTTTATAGACTTTTCTAAGAGATTATTCTTTATCTCAACTCGTTGATTGGCCCACTTGGAGAATAGAGGAACGTTTAGGGCACAGAGAGAGTGAGCACTGGAGGTCAGTGGTAACCTATCCTATGGGCGTGCAGCAAGCAGGGGAAACTTTCCCCAGCTGGGACATATTGGATGCAGTTGGGCTCAAAATCCACCTGCGCAAGACACTTTTCCTCTCTGCATACTGCCGATTAGACTTCCTGACTGTAGCTGCCCTGTGGTCGCAGCAGAATCAGGAACAAGGACGCGCTATGTGGTCTTGTGAGAATATTGAAAACTCTCAATAGCGCCTAATAGGGAAATTAGTGCATGACTGGTTCACGCCTTTGGCCCCCCCCTGGTAAAAGTCACTCTCCGGGGTGTGTGGGTGGTTCGCCCGGTGGGAGCTGACCAAATTGGTCATGGTGCTGGAGGCTTTGTTGCCCACCACAGCGACCCAGTGGCCCCCCGGGCTCTGTGGGAAAACGCGGGGCCGGGGAAATGCCAAAACGCCCCCCAATGGGAAGCAGAGGGGACTATAACTCGCCACCCCGCCTCAAATTTAGAGCGTGACGATTTGGGATAATTGGTTAATTAGGGGGTGGGTGGGTGGGTCCCGGTAGGAGCCAGAGCCAGCAGTCCCCATTAATAAGACAGTGATTTCTTCTTTTCTGGTAAAAATCTATGACAGGGGGTGAAAGTGTTTTACATCTAAATGCAATTAGTTCAGACAGAATTCTAAAGGCTAAAGAGAGATGAATCTATAAGGGGATGTGCGTAAAGGTTGCGCTTACCTGGTAAATAAGGCGTCCTGAATATGGGGTGAAATGTTCCGTCAAAGCAGGGGATAGGGAAGGTCTTGGAGTGCAGGCTGTGGAATGTAGGGGGTGAAGAGGCTGTGGAGGAAAATCACAAGTTAAAATTCCTGAATGATAAAAATGCATCTAAAGAAACACCAACTCAAACTGAAGGTAGGAAAACACAGTGGAGCCTGTCTACTCACCGATCTTTGGTGAAGGTGCAAGGATGGCGCTCACTCCAAACTTGAGAAAAGTTGGGTCCTTGCTGCTCGGCACGGACGTTTTCAGCGAGCACGGTTCGCGCGTTACCGTGGTCGTGGCCGGCGCGCGCTCCGCGGGCGCGCCGCTGAAGGACACGGTGGTGGTGGATGTGGGCAGGGAAGCGCTCGCTGACGGGACAGTCCGGTTAATGAAGGCGGCGGGGCGGCTTATCCGCAGCAGGTCCTCCACCAAAAAGCTGGAGTGAGTCGGGAAGACGGACGGCAGGGTCTGGTGAAGTGGCAGAGAAGCGGCGGGCCGGTACAGACCCGGGTAGAGGGCAGGAGGCGCGATGATGCTTGGGATCATCATGGTCCCGGCTTTTAAAAAAAAAATCAGTGTGTGAAATCGGAGATACTCCTTCTGGTAGCTGAGAGAATCAGTCGTGTGAATGGCTGCTAACTCCTCTGGTTTCCTAACTCTGGGGAGAGAAGTTTTATAGCAGCCTGCCCCCCCGCCCCGGCTCTCCGCTCTGGGTTGACAGCCTTAACAATGGGGCTCAACAAAGTTCTCCACATGGGTCGCTTTCATGCCGCATCCCCCGGCCTGCTGATTGGCCGGAGGACGCAATTTATGATTGCATTAGACTTCATAAGCAAGCAACACACAATGTCCCCACCACAAAAGAGCCTCAGTCATCAATTTTGCATGTTGACCACTTTCTTTTCAATTTGTTTTGTTTGGCAGAGGCAAGCAGTCTAATTAAAGAGCTGTCTTTACAGATTCAGTCTTTATATGGGGACTATTAATGAGTACTTAAAAGATACTTTATTCTTTTCCATTCATGGTGTCTTTTTGTTATGGAGAATAAAAATATGCTCGTTAAAAATGCAAAATTATTCTTTTATTTTATTTTCACTGCTGACAAAATAAACACCTACCTAGCTAGATAAACCTAGGCGTCAAACACTCTTATACTATGAATAGAATAACTGATTTATCTTAGGTTATCTATATTTATTGTTAAATCTACATTTTCTACATTGGTTGCAGAAGCTGCGCAGCATCTCAAATGTAAATCAGTTTTAGGGTTTCATAGGATTCTCAACACTCAATCTGACCCTCGTCATGGAATAATGTCTTAAACGGATTTCTGCTATCAAAACGCTTTAACAGATGTGTTAAATATCACTCTTTTTGCACAGGATTCATTCAGTGTGCAGAGCCGCAGCTCAATGCGCACAGGAGAAGTGTGCGGCCTGAGCCGTGCGCTCATGATCCTGTTAACCATGAACTAACTGTCACCCTCAGCTGCGGAGGAGGCGCCCCTCGGCCTTTCTCTCCATCCCTCTCTCCAGGCTTCAGGAAAAAAGCCCAGTGGAATAAAAAGCTTTATTCCTAAAGACGGTTTTGTTCTGCTATTTTAACCGGCTGAATAAAAGTGCATCTGTGATTTGATTTAAAACGCATTCATATGAGCGGACACTGAGACCCCATATAAAACTCTTATTAAAGCGACTTGGAGCCTGATAGTCGTGTTCTGTCGGCTTTGCCCCTGAAAACCCGTTAAAGCAGAGCATTGAGGCGAAAATGCATTACAGACCCAAAGAAGGGGAAAACAATGTTGCCAGTTTGAAACTCAATTAAAAAAATACAATAAAACAAAACATTTGACTTTAAAAACATTCAAGAAACGGTAAATAGAAATGTGTATTAGGTTACTTATTTGATTTATTAATATTTAGGCTATTTCATGTGCCTATGGTTAACTTTTTTCCATTTATGCCATGTCGTGCAGCCTAGCTATCGACTAAATATTTTAATGTACAAGACTAAATAGTATGCTCGTTTTTTGCTACACTAAATGTTTTTATTTCCTTTTTTCCACTTAACGAATAAACACCGCAATAGACCTCTATTAGGGCATATGGTGAGTCTGTGCACTATTTGCGTTTGTTTGCTCGTGATATTAAGGAACCAAATATTATTGTAATATTTGGAGCATATTTTTATGCTTTACTAGCCAAAATGACTCTACAAAACCGCAATGTTCAATGTTCACATCAGGCAAAAAATAAATAAATAAATAAAAAAAAAAAAACAGAAGAAAAGCTCTGTTAATTAGAAGTGGGTGTAAACAAACTTTTAAGACAACTTTACGGCACCTGGACATTTCTTGCTGAAATAAACCAGTGAATCAGACTGCATCATTTGGGATCAGCTCAAATAATAAGTGGTTCAACATCAACCTAATATAAATTGGCCACAAACCGATAATTAAAAATGGAACGCCTCCGTGAAATGATCCTTTGGTTAGAGTCAGTGTGTATCAGAGGTGCGTCTGCTTCATGAGCGCAGGACGCACAAACATGCGTTAACACAGCGCTTCGTCACCACAGCTACACCTCCAATAAGTAACAAGACCTTCAAAGCTTTTTTATGAGGCCTTATTCCTTTACTTGGCTGCCCGAAATCCTCCTTTTGTGAGCGGTAAGCAGATGGTTAGCAGGAAGCGTAGGCTGCTCTGGCTGACCGAGACTAATTTCTACGAGCTTTGCAAGCTTGCCACGTCCCCGCTCCTTTACCAGGCCGAGTAAAAACAGCTGGCTGCGGCTGAATTAAAGCCATTAAAAGCACATCTCTGAAATATTACTACCAACAACACCCCCACCCCTTGTTAGAGCCCACTAAAGTCCCCTCACTTTAGTATAATTATCCAACCGTCCATGTTTACATGGTATTATATTGCCTCTCTATCTCCTGGTCCAATACCCGTTAATTACGAATTATTACTATTAGGCATACTGTGTCAGTGGTGCACAGTTGTGAGTTTCCGTAGTGGCTTGCTTATTTGTTTACTACTGTATCGACTCATATGGTTTTATATTTGATTTCTTACAATATTCATGTGGCATTTTAGAGTTATATATGTAGGCCCTACCTAGAATATTCATACTGGCACTACCGCATTATGTTTATGTTCACTTATGGTGAGCTAATATCCCCATAGGGATTTCCTACTGATGCTTATCACTTATGGCATCCTTATCTCTCTCTACGGGGAGGATTGCTCGTATTAATCACTTATAATATCCCTATAGGGATTACAAGTACACGACTGACACTTAAACCTATAATATTACTAAATTATTTTATGATGATTTGTCTGATATTTAGTGCTATATATCCTGAACGATATATTTATTACAGACATCATGGAATTGTTCATACTTTTTCTGACATGCCTATGTCAGTTTACCAAATAGATGAACTTAACCATTGTCTTGGGACTCTTTCTGCTTCGTTAAGTGAAAGGGGCTGAGTAAATATGTTACCCATGCATGAGAGGCTCTGTATGGGCCGTCCCATTGTGTTGCGGGTCCGACAGGTGGTTAACTGTTTATTATTCCCTCATTATTTATCGGTGACGTGGACGCACCGAGGAAAGGGAACTCCCCGTCTTTTCACTTAACCGGGGATGAACAGATTGTGCTGACTGGTCGCAGCCACGTAGGCCTACATGACTCCGGTCACAATCCATCCATCTCAGCCATGCAACCACTCAGTCCGCATCCAACTCCATCCGGGTTTGGTAAATGAAACACACTTCCATCCTGACCATTTAGACGTTCTCTGTTGCAGAGCATGCTTGCCAAATGCAACCAGGAAATCATATTTTATATATTTCTGAATATCATAAAAACTAGAATCAGTTTATGAATGTTTTAGGCCTATCTTCAAGTGCCAGTAATAACTGACAGATATAGATTAACTTTAGACTTACTAGTAGCAATACATACTAGAAGTGTTTAACCTACCATTACAGGAATATTGCAGTGCTGTGAATATTGATATTAAAAGGGAAGTTTGAGTAAATAAAGTTAAATGTTGAATATTATAGGCCCTTCATGCAGATTTTTCTGTGTAAACTAACAGTGGTGAAAAGTAATTTACTCAAGTACTGTTTTGAAGTAGGCTACTTGTACTTTACTTGAATATTTCCATTTTATATTTCAGTACAGATTTTACAAACAAAACATGATGCATTGTTATAGATTAAATTACCCAATAGAACATAACCTAGTTAAAATTAGCTCCACCTCAACCAGCTACATTAACATGTTGCTTGTATATTTATAAATCATTAAAAAAATAAGAATATAAAACTCTTAAAAGAGCATACTAAATACATTTACTTTTGATACTTAATCTTGTTGCTAAGTTGTGAGTGTGGGATGTGTACTTGTAATAAAGTATTTTCCCACTGTAGTACTGCTTTTACTTCGGTAAAGTTTATGAATACTTCTGCCACCACTGCACATTGTTTGCACTACTTCAGACTTGAGCTCGTTGCGCCTTAAAATGTCACAGTTCATATCAGTTTCAGATGAAGCTGAAATGAATCCTTGCTCCTGCCATGTGAAGTTAACCAAACATCTATTTCAGTGGATTCAGTTTGTGACCGGGCTTCACCTCAGCAGCGGCTCCCACTTGGAGCGTTTTGGCCGCAGCTTCACCTCAGCTCGCCGGTGGCACTGAAGGTCCCTGAAGCATCTGGCGCAGGCAGCGCAAAAGCCCCTCTCAACACTGAGCGAATTAGCAATGCCACAAGATTCAGAAGAGCAGTGACAAGCATTAAATCGATATTAACTTTGTATTAAACATGGGCCCCTCCCTCTTCCCCAAATGGACTGGAGCCATATTAGTGCACAAAGTGTTCTGTATGAACTCTGGCTGCACCTGTTCCCTCTTACTTGGCCATGGGAGTTCAACTTCTTAGTTTCACCCCAGGCTCTTCCCCCCCCCCCCATCTGCTTCACCCCACAGCGAATTCTTTCAGTTGGGCTTTTGTCATTTTTGATCTCATCTCCACCCCCCGTGTTTACAACTCACCAAATCAAATCATTAAGAACATGTATTTCACATTTTCATTAACTGTCCAAACCGTCACACGCAAGTTCCATTTTTAAACTGCAGAAAAGTTTTTCAGAGCAGAAGTGCTCTTTCTGGTCCCGACTGGGACACTTGCCTCCCCTTTTTACTGTTCATTTATTAGCAGTTGTCAGTATGGATGTCGAGTGGTGTCCTAATCCTCTTAAAGCGCATGTTGGTACAGTTTGCATATCATTTTCTCATCTTGGAGAAAGGCCACAACCCTCTCTATTCACAGGGATTCCCTGTTCTCTTTCACTGCAGCCACAGCCAACAGCATTAGCATAATCTGACAACCAATACCATTGTCCATGACCTTGTATGCAAAGTTAATTGCTCATTAATACCAGACAAAATAGAGGGGTGCAGAGGAAGCACAGTAGTCCTCTAAATCCTTGTTTTAGACAGGAGAGACAGGCAGGTGGAACATTCACCCCTGGCTCATTAA